GTGACATGCACACACACACACACACACACACACACACACACACACACACACACACACACACACACACACACACACACACACACACACACATACACGTGCGATGTTTTGGAGGCTGATTCACCTTTGTTTCACATTTTGCATGGGGATCTTGATTGTTGCGTCATTGTCAAACGCATAGTTTTCCACTGCCCCCTCCAAATTCCACTCGGCATCCTGGGAAATGGGGCAGAAAAGGCTGCTGGACTGCGAGTCGCATGGTAGTGTATTTACAAAGTGAGGTATGGTCATGTGGTATGTCTGGTCACATGGGGGGGGGGCGCACTCACTTTTTTCTCCTTCTTATTATCATCATCCTTCTTTTTCTTGCTCTCCGGTATGAGGTCGTCCAGCCAGCTCAGCTCTCGTTTGCTGAAGCCGAAGTCCAGAAGCTTCCGGATAAACACCAATGCCAGAACCTGCGGAGCACAGTGTGAGGTGACCGTATTCCATTGGCGCGCGACCCGGCTTTTATCTCACCATCATCGGGAAAACGACGGCGATAGCGGAGGTTTTGATGAGCCACAGGGCAATCAGGCAGGCGAGCTGCACAGCGGTGAAGGCATGGACCTTCCTCAACGGCACGTAGCGAAGGTAAATAAGGTCCGGCTGATGCTTGGGCGCCATGGCGAACAGTTGGATGCGGTCAAAGAGCTGCACAAGACCAACAGGAGAGATTAGGGATGGGTTGTTCTACTCTGTAGTTAAAAAAAACTAATGAAAGAACTAAAATTGAAATTGAAAAATCATTTACAATGTCAAAAAAAAAATACCTGTGCAACTCTACGCAAGGAAAGAGCAAGAGAGAACCGGAGGAGGTGCGGTGTCAGCTCTGCGAGAGACGGACTAAGAAACGCACCTGAATGCCTTTGAGTGAGGACACGCCCATGTAGAGGAAGACGCCATACAGGACGGGCATCGGGATAAACTGAGGACAAGAAAATGAGCAAGTAAAAACGGCCAAGGTACCTGAAACTTCAGCTCAGATGGACGGCGCACTTGCTCACCTTAAGGATGGACGTCATGAAGACGGAGAAGCCCATGAGGAGGAAGATCATGAAGCCGGTGACGCGCTGCTCCCGGACGCCCAGGAACTTGGGCTGCTCGCCCGGGGCCGCGCATGTCGACTCCAGCTTCAGGCTGTTGACGTGCGTGATGGAGAGAACAGTCGCCGCCACGAACCACGGCAGGCCCATGATGGAGCACACAGCTATCATCAGCGACACCAACAGCAGGTCCAGATGGTAGCCGCAGCCTTTCTGCAGGAAGCACGCGCCCACCGGGGGGTTAACCGGCGGACATGCTGGCTAAGGGTTGTAAAATTTGGGGAATTTTCAATGTTGGAAACCTGCCATTGGAATCAATGGGAATTTATGGAAGGTTGGCCCGTAACGCATTTATCCCATTTATCATAATCAAGAAGAATTTAACTTGGGTTCATGATTGTTTACATACGAGACGCATGGTGTTGATGCTTTATGATCCTCTCCATTTTAATGATCCTCTTCCATCATCTTACATAGCCAGTTACAAACCTTTTTAAGTGGGTGTCAATTACTCGCAGATTCTGGCTATTTTGCCGCAAGTCTCAGTCCCAATCCCCCCTCGAACGGCAGGTTCACTATATTTCCAAATTCCCGAAGCTTAACTTCCCATGAAAATTTACTGGAAATGTTCGGCCCCCTTTGCAGCCCTAAGCGCTGGCATGGTGACGTTCGGGCCCCACCGTCAGCTTGTTTTCCTTCCTGTTGACGATGACTGCGGTGATCTGCTGGTCCATGAAGATAAGGATGGTGCAGAGCAGAGCGGGAATGCCGGCGGCCAACAGCGTCCACCAGGGGTTGGGACCCAGTGGCGAGATGAGCCAACCACGGTTGGCGGAGGTGGGCTGAGACACACCACATCACAAATTACTGATTAATAGAGTATCAAATTTTGTGTTCCCCACATTGTGGGTATCAGCAGCAGAATCTGCAGTTCTTTGAATTTGTCTCCTCAAAATACCTCAGCTTGGTTATCTTGCACAGCTATGCCTCCTGAAAACAAAATTTCCACCCTTTTTTCCCCACCATGACCGTGTCCTCATAAATCAGAAAATTTGTTATTTCTGGCATCGCAATTTTCTGGGAGGGGAGGACGTTAACACTGATTGTCATTTTCGCTGTTGTTCATTTTTTTACATGTTAGCCAGTCACGTTAGCCACCCTGCGCCCACAGTCTGGAATTCTGCATTACCTGGAAGCGATCCGGGACACTGAGCTTGGGAGACGGAATTCCCACCAAATAATCCATCAGCACCATGAACATAATGGTCAGGAAAACAGCAAAGTCACTGATGGTCGATCGCACCTGTACGTCAAAAAACCTTTGAATTTTCATTGCTATAATGCGTAGTGTAGATTGTCAGTCATCCAAGTCATGGTACTTTGCAAAAGTTGAATGGAGGCCACTGGACTCTTCTTGGTTGTTGAAAACATTTTACCTTTCATCCAAAAAGCCTCTTAAATTAAAAAAAATCTTAGCTGTGGAAGCCTGTAGATGACAGGAAGTGAAACCCACCTTGGTGGGGAAGAATCTCTTGTTCTTGAAGCCTTTGAGGTAGGTAGACAATAAAAAGGTTGTGAAGAAGAGAATGATGGACCAGAACAGGACGTCGGGGACGAAGGGACCGTCGTGGCCGCAAGCCGAGCCCACGAACTCACCGCGCAGTGTCTGACAGCGCTGTAAGAGAAAGAGAAGCTCGGCTGGGGTTCTCCTTGTGTTTCTCAATTCTGCATTAAGTGCACATGAGATGCTCCAGAGGATTTGCGTCACCTCACCTGTACACTAAGCTGTTCCCACGGGATGCTGGCCGACGAGTTGTAGCCCCAGCGCCTCCAAATTTGAAGTATCTCAGCGGAGGCGTTGGTGGGTTGAGAACATTTGCACCTGCAGCCCAAGCAGAAGAAGCCAGTATGAGAACTTCCAACTGCAAAGTGGAGTCGTTGGGATAGGGTGATTATGGAATTAAAAAAAAAAAAAAATCAGATTTCCGTCTTTGATAGATTTTTACAATTTGTGGACGAACTGAGCATTTATTTGATATCCTCAATATCCATTTTAAGGTTCATGTTAGGGTTGCTAAGATAATTCAGTGCATGGTAGGCGCTCTCGTAGAACACCTGAGTCTTAGTCATGCTTTAAATGACTAAAATCAAGCAAAACCAAAAAAGCAAAACTAAAAATAACAAAATCGATAAATCTCCCCGGCCTAGGTAGGATTGCTTGTGTTGATCTCAGGCGTCTAACTTACGTGTAGAAGGTCAGATTGTCCAGGTTGTTGGCATTGTTGACTGGGAAGATGTGCCCCAGGTGCAGCAGTTTCTCCAGGGCCTCGTAGATGAAGATGAAGCAGATGAGGGCCGCGAAAGCCTCCTCGGTGAAGCGTGTGATGTAGCAAACCAGGGAGCTGGCGTCGGTCGCCACCAGCAGCAGGCACATGAAGGCAGTCCACAGCCCGATGCTGGTCCGCAGCGACAGGTAGCACAGGCCGTAGTCACTGAGGAGGATATTTGGAAGAATACCTTGTAGCCCTTTTCACACTGCACTTAGCACGCAGGACGCGATTGCCGAACCCATTTATTGTGTATGTGGTGAGGGGCACCCCAGAATGGAGACTTGCTGGGCGGCACGGCAGGAGGACGGATGTCTGCTGCGACGGTGAGGCCCCTCAAATTAAAAAAATATTCTAGTCTCACGAACGAGATTATACAATCCGAATTCTCGCTGAGCTATTAGTAAAGGATGCATCATTCTCCTCCTGAGCATGAGCAAAGCCAGGACTTTCTGAAGCAAGGATGAAAAATACATGTCATTGTCAAAAGGTACTTCTCATCTAAACCAGCGGGAAAAAAAATCTCTGTGTTCACTTCCTGGTAGGCTAACACGTCAGCATTCCCACGAAAAGGGGGAAAAGCAGCCAAACACACAAAAATTTTAAAAAAAGGAAACATTTACACAGAGCTTGGAGGAGATGCTAAATGCCCAATGAAGCGCCATACATGGCCACGTACAATGGGAATCGGGATGGAAGAGGGTCTCCAAGTGATCTCAACTTTATATCAAATAAACTTAACTTTATCTTCCACCATGTCAAGGACTATCAGGACACCTCTTGTGCAATGCAAATCAATAGAATGAAGAGTCGATTAGCGGAGAATCAAGTCAGCTGTGGTCATACCCACAACGGCACAAAACGCCATTAAAAAAAAAAAAAAAAGTACCATGCAACACCCACCACCCTCCACGCGTACAGCTCTGCAAAAATGCAGACTTGCACTGGGCACAAAAAGAGAACCCAAGGTATTGAATGTTACACTCTGGTTGTGGCTTCTGAGATCGATTTACACATCTGTAGATGATATGATGTATTAAAAAAAAAGAAAAAAAAAAGATACTCCAATGAGATAGAGGAAAAGTCAACCATGGTTGAGATCTCGAGTGATATCTCGAGAAAAGATCTAAATCAGAAATGAGCAAAAATAAATAAAGCAGCGAAAACTGGCACAGCAGTGACATGGAGGGACGTGAACTAGGGAGCATTACCGACAATATTCCTCATTGACTGTAGCCACATTTGATTCGAAGGCAAGCAATGAAAATGCAGGTCAGATGGCCTGAGTGACAGGGGCTTTTGACCCAATGTGCTGGATGCAAGTCAGAAAGTTCATTGTCTAAGTTTGTTGTTTGCAATCAATGACCCTAACCTTCACCTGAAAGTTCTTCATACTCAAACAACTAGTAGTAAATTTCTGATGACCTGGACCCTGACCGCATCAATACTTCCATGGAAGGTCCCGATGGCACCCTGTTTTTGTCCAGTACGTTGTTACATCATCGAAATATGATCGCAAATGTCTCTTATCAAAGTCAATATTGACGAGTCAAACGCCGCCGGTGCAAAGAACGCGGGCTGTCTCCCTACAAAAGTCACCCACACCACCATCTCAACCCTGCTCCGCCGTCATGTTTGTACGTGTCGCAGTTGTGCTTTTGTTCACGGTGGTGGTGGTGGTGCGGTGCGGCCCGGCTCAGTCGCTGGTCCGCCAGGCCGAGCTGGACCGCATACGGGCAGCTATGGAGGACCTCAAGTCCGAAAGACAAGGTGACGATGACACTCACAAGTTGCTGTAGTAACACATTGCTTACTGAGTAGCCCGCACATGCTGAGCGTGACTTGTGTGTCTCTGTGGAAACAGCCATGATGCATCGTCTGGAGAGGGCTGAGAAGGAGCTGAGCACGGTCCGAGGTGAGCCCAGTTCTGAAATAAATTCATGCTGCCTTCCCAGTACAGAAAATTCAGATAAAGAGAGTATTCGTCCTGTGACGGAAATTAAATAATGGCGCGTCAAATATAATCACTTTAGACGCAAAGGGGCTTGGCCAGTGAGTATCGGGTATTAAGCTTCACCGTCACACTGGCGTCCATATAAACCCAAAACTTGAACCCCCACTTGAACAGAAACTCCAAAGATTGCCTTTGCTGCCTCTCTGGGGGGAAACGGCGCCCAGAAGACGACGTCCGGAAACAGAGATCTGATCTACAGGGATGTCCTAACCAATGTCGGCGGGGCTTACAACGCAGAGACGGGTAACCTTGCACTTCCACTTCCACGAGTCATCATGATGCTCAACGATGTCATCCGTGCTCCCTAAAGGCGAGTTCACTGCACCCATTCGCGGCGTCTACTACGTCCGTTTCACCACCAACGCGCCCACCGACTTCACCATGAGCGCCGTGATGTACAAGAACAACGCCGAGATCCAACTCATCACCCACGAGCAGCCGTCCGGGCAAGGCAGCGACACGGCATCCAACGGCGCCGCCCTGCTGCTGGAGAAGGGAGACAAACTGAAGATGGTGCTGTGGCACAACACGCAGATCTGGGACAACAGCAACCACCACAGCACCTTCAGTGGATTCCTGGTTTTCCCACTGTATGTCAAGCCGTTTGAGAATGTATTCGATATCTTTAAGTGTACTGGTCGGGATTTTTGTGAAAAAAATAACATCCTAAAGATGAGCTGCTTTTGCATGTTGCCTCTGAAGAACCGATGGAGCTCCGATGGAATTTGACATTGAGTCGCAGATTCAAAGCCTCCAGGCTTCGATGACGCAGCTCCAAGTGGAAAACACAGGTACGTTTTAGTTTCTTTTTTTTCCAACACATACTAGTGCTGTTTGAAGTGGAAGTAATCATTTTGTGTCGGCAGAACTCAAAGAACGAATGGAGACCACCGAAACGGAGCTGAGGAATATGAGAAGTCAGTGTTGAATACTCGGTTCATTATGCTTTGTTAAAAAGATCCCCTAATGAGTGGTGTTTTTTGTCGCTTTGCCGTAGATGTGCCAAAGGTGGCGTTTGCGGCCTCTCTCGGGGGTAACGGCCTCCAGAAGACCACGTCCGGAATGAAGAAACTCCTCTTCAAGGACGTCCTCACCAATGTTGGTGAGGCGTACAATCCGGAGACAGGTCAGCAGTCACGTCCCTCCATTTTATTCCTGTCAGCAGCCCTTGGTCAGGACTTATGGGGCATTTCTAGGGGGGAGTTTTTTTCCCCCTGAAATTTTATTCACTTCCCAACAGGCTATTTGCTTCATTTTCGCGCTCTGTCTTGTGAACATGGTCATACAGGCAAATGTAGAGCTTTGCCACCATTTTGTGGCATCTTAGTGCCAAGGAACTATATTGAAGTGAATTGAGGAGCTTCGTTTTGACAAAGTACTGCTTTTCTGCTGGCATCTCAGGCCCAAAGAACTATGTTGAGGTGTGTTGAGTTACATTTAGACAAAAGTAATGGCTGGCTGGTATGAAGAAATTCCATTGACGTAAGTTGAGGAGCATCTCTGTCGGGATTTTTTTGTCGGTCGGCACAGCATCATTGACGAATGGACTGCCACTGATTCCTGTGAACATGTTTCCCCTGCTTGCTTACCTCCCCCAGGTTATTTCACGGCGCCCGTACGCGGGGTCTACTACATCCGCTTCACCGCCAACGCACCCACCGACTTCACCATGAGCGCCGTGCTGTATAAGAACGACGCCAGCGTGCAGCTTATCACCCACGAGCAACCGTCAGGCGAGGGCAGCGACACGGCGTCTAACGGCGCCACCCTGCTGCTGGAGAAGGGCGACAAGCTCTCGCTGCATCTGTGGCACAACACGCAGATCTGGGACAACAGCAACCACCACAGCACCTTCAGCGGATTCCTGCTCTTCACCCAGTGAGCGTCACACCAGGCCTCCTTTGCAGACCCACAAAATATTCAATAAAATTCCATAAAAATTGATCTTCTGTGTTTGGCTTTGAACTTCTTGTTGTGGGAATGCTTTTGAGGATATTATTATGATTATTATCATCCCACCAAAAACTCGCTGCAAAGTAATGGCGTTTGGTGTTTGGAAATAGTGCAATGGCGCGAATGCCACAAATAAACAACTAACACTGCCCTTCATGCTAACACCGCAAACATCTGACCAAGGTTTTAAATCCTGCATATAATTTTTTCAATTTTGTGGGGCCTCCAGCTCTGGATGTAATTAGGTGGCATACATAATGAAGTGACTCCTGATTAGAAAATCTTATCAAAGCACAGGTTTCCATAAACATTACAAAGCATTTCATCCATTACAAAACTGAAGTGAGCCAATAATCCACCCGGCAAGAACAACAGAAGAGCCATCGGGATCATGTCGTCTCAAACGTGAACGACTACAAATGGGCAGGGGCGATTCAACCCAACTCACTTCCCAAAATGTCACCCGGACCAGACTCACCAGCAGAACTTGAAGAGGATCTTCTCAAAAACCAGGACGGGCCCGGTGCTGCCCAAGATGGTGAGAGGCTGACCCGCAAACAAAGAGTAGGTCACGCCCGTCAGGGATGCCCCAAACAGAGATTCAATGGCGCTCTGCAACAGACACAAAGAATGTCTCGGAATGATGACGTCACTTCCGGCTTCTCCATAAGGAAACCCTTGATATGGACCGCTATGTACTGCGTCTGTGGTTCTTACGATGTTTCCTTGGGTGGCTTCTCCCAGCAGGCCTCCGAAGGTGATGACGGGCGACATGCAAGCGCAGTAGAGGAAGAGGATGGATGCCAAACACTGCAGGCTGAGGCCATCTGTCAGGTCACTGAGTAGAAAAGGTGCCTTTCTCTGGATGTCCTTGAACAGACCGCCAAACAGCCTGACACATACAGACACACCACACTCAGAAAGCCATTTGAGTTTTGTTTAAATATATTTTACGTTTGAAGATAATAGCTGAAAACATATGAAAAGACTGAGTACGATGTAGTACGAAGCTTTTTTTTTTGCCATTTCAATGTTCTCAATTTTTCGGTGGCATGGCTAACATTGGCACTTTTGGAGTGAGCATGAGTTTCCCTTCCACACAATATGCAAATGTAAGCGCCTTTGTTCAGCTCAGCGGCCATCCAAAAATTGAGTTAATGGAGTAACCGAACTGTTTTAGAGTGTAGCAAGACCTTGAGATGCAGATGGAATAAATGCTCAAAAAATGACGAGTACATGGACCTTGAGTTGGCTCTCAAGTCTATGGGAGAAATGTTAAGACGGCTTTCTACACAAGCTAGCAAAATGTGGCTAACATCAAAAAGCGCTAACCTTCCCGTCCTCCGCAACTCTGGGCCAATGTCATGCTCTGCCCCCTTGATGATGTCAGAGATATGGATGGAGCCATTTGGGGCAGAAGGGATCTTCCGCTTCTCCTGCAGAGACAGTGTTAGAGTTGTTAGCTTTAGCATTTTACCTATTAGCCACTTAACCTACCCCAAAACTTTCATTTGAAACCCGAACAATGGTTTGAAACCTTGCTTTGAAATCAGAACCCTGGTTGGAACAATACTTTAAAACCTTGACCCTTGCTTAAAATGCGAACTTTGACTTAAAGCCCTACTTAGAAGCCCTAACCCTAGCTTGGAAGCATAAAACTTCTTTGACACCCTACTTTGAAACCCTAACCCTGGCTTGAAACCCTCATTTGAAACCACAACACTTGTTTGAAATCTTAATTTTGTTTTAAATTCTTCCTAACTCTAACTATGGTATCAAATATTACCCCCATTCGTAAAACAGTTATCATTGTTAGCATTAGCATTTAGCCAGTGTGTCCACGAACCTGAGAGGGTACGTTCTTGGGCGGTTCGATGCGGATGCTGGGGTCCCACTCACCCGGCGGGAGCACAGTCACTTGATCCAGGAACTCGTCCAGTCCTGACAGCAGGTCTTTGTGATCCTTGGCCTTGTACGCCACATCGTGGAAGATCTTGGACAGGGCCACACAAACATTTTAAAGACTGCACATAACTCACATGAGATTCTTACCTCGCACCTCGTCTGTCATCAGTGTGGCCATGGAGCGTCCGATCTCATGGTATTGCGGACCTTTTCCGAACGGACCAAGTAGGAGGAAGAGGAACCTGATCGGCGGAGGTTAAAGTGACAATTGTAGTACCTTCGAGATTTACTGGAAGCAAGTTCCTTGGCAAAAATCCAGCAAATTGAGTCAAATTATCACTTGGGCAAAGAAAGTCTAAAATCATACAATCTTTGTAAGACACACAAAAAAGCGTAATTACACCAATAAAAGTTAAATGGACAATTGAGCGGATTAAATAAAAGTTATTTAGTTATTTCCAATATGGTTATCTCATATTTCTTCATAAATAGATCCTAATGGCCCACCCCCACGCTGTCTGTTATTTTTATGCATTATTAACCAATTTAAAGTGTTGAAAATAGCGTGACAACACATCTATTAACTTTCTTGAATGTGCAATTGTCTGACAAATGTGGTAAAACTCCGCCTCTTCCCTCACTGTGCAGGAGCTCTGTGGTGAAATGGTGTTACAAGTTCTATGCATTCTGCGATTGGCTGGCAACCAGTTCAGGGTGTCCCCCGCCAACTGCCCGAAGACAGCTGGCATAGGCTCCAGCACACCCCGCGACCCTCGAGAAGATAAAGCGGATCAGAAAATGGATGGATGGATAGAGTTCTATGAATTCCGATGTGAAAGGTTGTGTCCTGATATGCGAGTCAAGTTGAGTCTTTCAGATGTTTTTAAACAAGGAAGTCCTAAAATTGGCGACTTGAGTCATGTGACCTTCCACCTAGGAGGAGAGGGAGCTCACCTGGTGGGTACGGGAACTTGGGTGAGTCCGGAAAGGAGCACGGCGGGCGCCAGGCGAACAAAAGCAACAATGGGCTTTTCTAGGAAGTCCACTTGCCCCACCAACACGTTGGAGGCTTCGGCACCAGGAGGAATCTTCTTCATGAAGTTCATGTCCACCTGAATCGTACGGGACAGGCTGCAGTGAACACCCAGTGGAAACCCTGCATGTTTGCCTTTTGCCAACTTGTTTATAGATTATTTTTAAAACTGCCCTTCTTCGGCCGCAAACACTCACCTATTCGCTGTTTTTGCACTGAGGCCAAAGCAATGAAAAGTGTTGCTTTGGTGCTACTGTACGGCATCCAAGTGACGAGAAACTATGTTAAAGTGAGTTGAGGAGCTTAATTTTGACCATGGATAGACAAACAGACAAATGGGCCAGGCGAATAGCCACGGATAAAAAAAATAAAAATGTGTAAAATATTTGAAGTCGTTTCTTTTAAATTTGTTAACGTTAAATGTACAGTATAAGTAAAATTGCTTATTTTGCATATACAGTGGATACTATTCGTGAGGGATAGGGACAGGGCAAATATAGTGAAGTGAGTTGAGGAGTTTCATTTCTATAAAAGTTGTGCCCCTGCCCCGCCAACTGGAGGTAATTCTAAACCTTTTCAGGTGTGGGGTTGGTGTCACTTTCCAGCTGATTTATGGGGTTCACTGAAGACGCAAAGAGGTGTTTCACCTTGCTGAAGTCCACCCCGCTGCTTTCACGACTCACTGCGGTGACGCCACCTTCCGCACCCTTGCTGGCGTCCAGGTTCCCAGGAGCCGACTGAGGGGATGCCAGAAGACCTGCTGGAGCACGAAGAGGCTTCACATCACGTTAGCTGGCCGTCATCAAGTTGTTGCCACTTCCTGTTTATTTAGATTCTTCGGACTTGAAGGCGTTTATGGCATTTCAAATCAGACAATATCATTAAGCTAGCAGACTTACCTTATGACATGGCATGTTGGTGTTTAGATATAATAGTGTAATTCTTAATTCTGCCTTGTATTATGTGTCATTTGACAGTACACTTCAACTGGCCGTGACAAATAAATGGCTTGAAGCTAGCAGACTTTGCTCTTATTTGGAGAACGATGCTAGGGAGAGAGTCTTTTATTTTCATTTCCTCTGTGATGTTATACGACTGTCTCCCATTTTTGGGCAGCTTCAGAATGAGAACAGGCACTGTGGAATATTTTTTTTTAATATTTTAAAAAGTTTAAGTGTGTTTTAATAAGTTTTGTGTTTATGTAATGTGTTTAAAGCATGTGGGATGGACAAAAATATTGGAGAAAAAAAAATTTGTGAAATTTTGTTTAAAAATAATACAGCCACTCACTATTTTGTCCCAGCAGATGAGGGTCAGAATACTTCTTGCCAATGTCAGCGAGGGATCGCACCAGTGGGATGCGCTTGCTCAGCCTCTTCTCATTCTGATGGTGGTGGCGCTTCAAGATGGCTTCCCTCACCTTGTCTTCGACATGCTGGTCCAGCTGACCGGACGCCAGCATGCTGTCAATCACCATGTCTGAAAAATATCATACGTTGTTCTTCAATCTTTCTCACCAGCAACTAGTGGGTTGTGATGTGAGGCAATGGAGGAAAAACACGAAGCCACTTTAGAGCAGCACGTTGCTGGTGGGATTTTTTCCATTCACCGGAGACTTAGGATGGATATATTTTTGCTATTCAAACACGTAGTTATGCGTTGGCATATAAGATAAGATAAGATAAGATAAGAAAACCTTTATTAGTCTCGCAATGGAGAAATTCACAATTCACAGCAGCAAAGTTATGAATGGATGGATGGAATGAAAGTTATGAAAGATGCTACCCAAAGTAGCATCCATTTTTCCATGTTGTAGTTGAGCTACTTGTTTGGCAGTTGACAGTTGGTGAGTGGGATGTGATTTCGGTGCATTACTGTCGTACAGTATAATGAGAGTGTGGGTACTTCTGCCACTTCTGTGTGCAGGTGTCGCGACGGCGTGCTGACCTGCGATCTGCTCAATGCCGTTGGCGCGCATGTCGAGAACCACGGTGCCGTTCATGATGCACGAGCGCAGCTCAAACAGGCTGTGCAGCGACAGGGTGGCCACATAAGGTTTACTCCAACGCTCGCCGCCGTCCTCCACATCCTCCTCAAACTTCAACCACCTGCCCGCCCGCCCGCGTGCACACGCACACGCGCACGCGCACACGCACACATACACCCATGCACACACATAACACAAACCCATGCTATAGGAGATGCCTCATTCAAGATGGCACGCGGCAATAGAAAGCGGCGTTGCTGCATCCTTGCCTTGCCGTTTCTTTCCATTCCAAGACTTCTCCATCTCTGAAAGCCAGCTCGTCCAGCTCAGTGAAGAGTTGGTGAGGGACATGTTCTTCGTCGTCATCCTCCATGCCTAAGATGAACTGTACCCTCTGTGAGGGCGTATCTAGTTTTTTTTTGGATCCACATCACACACACCAAAGAAAAAAAAAACGACAATTAGTCGTGTCAATCTCATTTTTTTGTCATGGCCCACATTGGTGGCCCGGTTTCCATCTAAGGGCCAATATGATTGTGAAATCTAATGAATGTTACACCTCTACGTACACCAAATGATGGATAACTAGTCTTGAAATCAGAAGTCAAGGATCATGGTTTGTGCAACGATTGATGAAGTTACGGTAAAAATAAACAATAACAAAAAAAACACAAAACAAAAAAAACCCTGCTTGCAATATCACTACATTACTTATTACAGATGACGATTTGAAAATTTGGTTGAGGTGTTAGCTGGAATCACGGAACTTGATGCAAATGATTTGCTTTTGCGGGCCACACAAAATGATGTGGTGGGCCGGATTTGGCCACCGCACCTTGAACTTGACACCTGTGTCTTGCACAAGAAACATACACACCATAAAAATTCAATCATCACCCCCCCCCCCAAAAAAAAACACACAAAACACAACAAAACAAAAACAAATGCGGGAATAAATGCTGTCATTCATTTTCATGTTAGCAAAGGAGGAGTTTCTTTTGAAAAAAAAATTGCTAATATCGTCTAGGCCTACCATAAGAAGGCGAGTCGGAGGCATCCTCATGCGGGCGATGCTGCCTCCGCCGCTCATGTCTGTGCCCTCGGTGGCGGTGGCGCCGTCGGTTCTCTCGGCCCAAAGGCACGTGGATGCCAACGTACAGCGCCCTGTGACCTGACCCCCAAACACGCCTGACGTGTCAAAATGCTATCCTTCGTCCTTCATGAGAACAACACACCCGTCACTCACTCTCCAGCTCCTCCGCCTCAAAATTGGTGTAAAGTGTGGAGCTTGTGTTTCCTCGGTCCAGCACTGCATCCTCCAGCTGCAAACATCCACACACACAAACACACTCAATGATTATACGAGGATCAAGTTGAGGAGTTTAAAAAAAACTTTAATTTTTCTTTTCTGAAAGAGGCTTTTTCCGTGAAACCAGTCCATGCATGATGCAAAAAAAGATGCAGGTGTAAATGATGGACAACACAAATTGTTCTGTGAGGGCTGAATGGGAGGAACTCATAAACAACAGCAGTGGTCGAAAAGAGAAGAAAAGCAACATCCGTCACGTTGGATAGTATCACGGCATCACCACAGCGACCACCTCAGCCGCAACACTTCAAAGCCTTGACCTTGACCACCCGTGACGAGACCGACAGGATGTCAGGAACTTGTGAGGAACGTTGAACTCCTTCTAGGCTCCTTTAATGATCCCACAGGCAAAGGATGGTGACAAACTTTTTCCATTAGACAGCATTATGAATAATTAAAGCTCAAAATAGCATATTTCCGTGTTTGTATTTATATAATTTTTTTTTTACTTACCGTAAATCAGTTAAATCTGTACTGCTACTTTTGCAAGTATTTTTTTCCACAAGTAGTTGTACTTATACTTAAGTACAGTGCATAAATACGTTTGTCATCTTTGCTATTCAATGATGTCTAATGGTTAAAGTCCCTACCAACGTCCATTCAATAATTTCTGTAACAGACGGATGCTTCAGCATAACCAAATGATGAAAATGACCGCTTGGTGACGATGTAATATCGAAAGTAAGGTCGATGTGATGCAAGCCGAATGTCAAATGAGTACGTACAGATGTCGTTTGCGTTCTTACAAGACACGACAATTTCGAGTCGAAGCCGTTTTTTTTAGGTTTTAGAAGTTGCAGTTCTCTTGTAGGACTTCGGAACTACGTGGATGCGCGCGAGACGAGTTCACTTCCTGGAAACAAAGTAAACTTGTCGGACAGTAGACTTTTGTTGTTTAAAGTTAACTAGTATCAAGCGTCTCTTTACAGACATTCTCCTCTCTACACACATGAACTTAGTAGAAGCTTTAGTGAGGGACACTTGAGTACAAGTGCCACCGACTTTGGCGCATCTTCGACGGGATGAGAGAAGCTAGCCGCCGCCAGGCTAGCAAGAAAATAACAGCAACTACTAACTTACTGATGTCAACAGTGGCCTCATCTGCTCGCTCCCGTCTTGTGCCATTTTCAAATTCCACTCTCGGGACGTTCAAGGCTGGTGAAGAAAGGTCCACAAGTTGTACCTTCTCTCCTCCGCTGCCTCAGACTGTACTGTAATAACACCAGCTTCAAGAAACGCCCCCAGGTTCGAGTCTCTCTGCACCACTCACAGCAAATAATCTCATAATGATGGGCGAAAGAAGGAGCCGCAAATGAGATCATTACTGAGTGAGCCATCCATCCATTTTGTTTTCTTTTGTAATGTTCAAGGTGTTCATAGTTAATGAAAACTAATAACAAAAACTATAATTGAGAAAACATTTTTGCTAAGGAAATAAAATTAAAAAGAAAAGGTTTTGAAAAAAGCAAAACGAAACTGAAATTACAGATTACGTTTAAAAACTAATTAAAACTACCGTGAAAATATATGTGTATATTTAAAATGAACTCTTCGGGATTCATTTGTAAAATATATATTTATTTCCGTATTACCGTGCGTCTGTACAAAAGAAACGGAGGTTAAAAAGCTGTTCGACAATTGTTCCACAATACAGTACATAGTCACCTATTTTTCATCTTGCACTCGACTGATACTCCATATATTTAAAAAAAAAATCTTATGATAAATTTGAAAAAACCTACAACGAAGCATTTAAAAAAAATAAAAACTATAAAACCACCTCTAAAAACTAAATAAAACTAACTGCCGGTCAGGGCACACACAGCACTGATACTCCATATATTTAAAAAAAAAATCTTATGCTAAATTTGAAAAAAACTACAACGAAGCATTTAAAAAAATAAAAACTATAAAACTAGCTCTAAAAACTAAATAAAACTAACTGCCGGTCAGGCCGCACACAGTCATGGGAAGCAAAGCCCACACAAGCACTGGGAAAACAGGCAACTAAATCCAAAAAGGAAAGCTGGTGCCCGGATTCAAACCCAGAACCTCAGAACTGTGAGACAGACTTGCGAACCGGCAAACCGCTGTGCTGCCTTATTCATCCAATCACCCTATAATTAGCAATGACAAAGATGTCATAAAATCTTGAATGTACAGCCCCCCTTCCCAAAATCAACAATCGTTGATGTGATGTCAGTGACGGATGCAGTTTGGCTTTTTGAAGAGCTTATCTGTGATTAGCACCTTCATATTAGTGCTCGCCCTGCTGCCATGCTGATGATATCTCTACACACGCGCCATTGTTGTGATCAAAGCTGCTTTACAACCACTCACACTTCATTATAGCACCGCAGCGCAGCATACAATGACCGGCTCGGCTTCAAAGATCAAGTCGAGCAAGCGCCGAGATGTGACCTCTAGTGTGACTCTACACCTACACTGTATGACTAAGTGTGTATAAAGCTACATTAAATAATAATATTACATTCATTATAAATTCATTCAATTTGACTGAAAGAGCTTTGAGCGTCAAAAGAGCTTTAATGGTGATCTTTGCGCATCAAAACGAGCCTTGAGTGTTGTGTTGTAAAATGTTTTTGAAGAGTCAGCTCAACGCCATGTAAATGTCCTGCTTTGACTGACAAATGTACACTTCTGTGTGTTTTTGTTTGTTTGTTTTGGCAAGAACTACACAAACGTTTGAAAGTGGAAGCAAGCACGACAAAAGAGAAGGTAAGACCATAATATGTCTTTTGATGTGTTTTAAACAGGAAGTGTGACAGGAATCAGCATATCAACTTACATTTAAGGGGATATATGACGTAAATGTGACAATTTAATGAATACAGCACTGTGAAGCTGTGATTTTCATGTCTGGCTCTCAGTTTTGAGGTCCATGGTTTGATTCTCGGCTCTGGCATTGCTGTGTAGAATTAGTATGTTCTTTCTGGTGTGAGTTGTTAGCATATTAGCTTCACTGAGGTCAAAGGGACCAGGGAAGGGACCAGGTTGGTATAGTTGATTAGAAATGTGTTGAAACAAATAATAACCCCCCAAAAAATATTTGAATATATTTGAAATAAATATTGAAAAAAAAAGGTAAGTACGGTAGGTAAATTCGCAGTTGCCGAACCACAAGTTTGAGGGGGTCCAAAGTACAGTATGTGTCAGAGGTTTGTGTTCAGAAAAGGACACAAAAGCAAAACTTGGTGACACTATAAGAAGTGTATCGCTGAAAGTGATTGTTTTGACTCCTCAGGATGCTGTCGAAGGGCCATCTATATTCTGCAGTACTGCTCCTTGTGCTGAAGGGGGCAACAAAATCGAGTGAGTCGAAACATGTCGCTTGGGTTTCTATGACAACTCCTCACGGTGAAAAAGTTTGATTTAGAGAGACTCTTCAGTTTCACTTGATCATTGGAGACATGAGAAAAAATTCATTGTAGGACTGGACATTCAATTTCTGCCACTAATACTGTTAATTATTTATGCAACTACAATTTAATAATTTGTAGTGCAGCAGTATCACCTAAAAAAATCTGTGACATTGTGAGATCTCGAGACCACAAAAAAAAAAAAATCAACGTACTTGCCTGAATTAAAACAGACTAAATATTTCTTAGTCCCTGTTCTTCTCGTTGTCAAAAATGGGAAACTACCATAAAACATTGCTTTGAGGAAACAAAAAGAAGGCTATCTTTCTCGTGCATTCTCAAAATAAAAAAAGCGTGCTTGCTTCTGTTTTATTTGTCAATCCCAGTTATATTTACTGTCAACAGCATGTCAATATATACGTGATTATTTGAAGGCAGTCAGCTACATCAGCATGTTTATGAGGTAGCAATTAGCTCCATGATATTGTTGACGTGGGAAAGAAGTTACTCAAGAAGGATATTGACACGTGAAAGCAGTAAGCTCTATGCAAGTTTTCTTAATTGCTCTTGGGGACCCACTAGTGGTCATCTGGCTCTCATTGAGTGCTTGGTTTGCTTACAACTTGGGCCGGCTCTGTTTCCAGGATGCGCAGAAGCACAGATCAGCTCGGGTTTCAACTTCCTGGTGATCTTTCCAGAAAACATGGCCTACTTTTACCCCGAGGAACCTCACAACCAGGTGCACGTCACGGCTTTGCTTGACAACACAGAAGTCACAGTGGTGATCCGGGAACAAATCCACACTGAGACTCTGGCCGCCGCTCAAACGCGCCGCTTCTTCATCTACGGCGACGCCGAGCTCGGTCGTGAGGGTGTCTCAGACAAGGTGCTCCGAGTGAACAGCACCCGCCAGGTCACGGTCCACGCTGTCAGCATCAAGGCGGGCAGCATACAAAGTGCTCGGGTTCTCCCTGTGGACAGGCTGGGCACTGAGTACCTCATCCCACCAGTTCCCAAAATCCAGGGCACCACCCAACCCACCGACATGGTCAGCCCGTATGTGACAGAGTACACCCCTTTCAGGCTCATTGTAGTCAATGCGGAGAAAGTCAACACGGTCAACCTGGAAGGGGAAGGTAACAATACCAGGGAAGTGGAGCTGGAGCCTCACCATGCCGCTCAGTTCAGGGTGGATAGTGACAAAGCCTGGAGGGTGGTGAGGGCAAAGCATCCAGTGGCGGTTCTCTTCGGGCACCCATGTGCGGCCACACTAAATTGCAGCTGCTCTATGCTCTACGCTACACTGAGTCCCAAACCGAATGACAAGATGACCTTCTTAGTCCCACCGCCGTTGTCCCAAGACTCAGAGGACCAAACTGCTGTACTACTGTCCCAGGACTCCTTGGTGGACTCCTCGTACCTGGGCTGGCCTCTGCTGGAGCTCTCCAGTATCGCCGTCCTCTACCGGCCTGGCCTGCTCCTGCCGCTCATCTCGCAGTCAGAGTTGGCCTCCTGCTATGTGGTCAACGCCATACCGGACGTGCATAATTTTGCCATCATCCTCGTCCACAAGGACCTCACCGCGGGAGTCCGTGTGGGTGGCGGTCCACCAAAGGACCTCACCTGGCGACCGCTCACGGGGACGGACTACGTCTCCACGGTGGTGAATTTCAGCCTGGACAACAACGTCATTTGGCATACCTCAGACAAGATGGCCGTCTACTATATGGGAGAGAAGGGGAACGCCACTTTTGGGAATCCGGCGCCCGCCGTCAGTCAAATCTCAGGTGAACTCATTAGATGTTCAGCATCACAAACACAAACACAGACTGGTAAGTGCTCTCGTAAGCACAACAGAAAAATGTTTCTCTCGCTTAACTGAAATACTTTCACACATAGACACACTTCTTAAATGCTCTCCCATTCACTTCTGAAACACTGTCATACGCGATATTAAAACACTCTCATACACAATGTTAATATGTTCTCACATTCAACCGAAACACTCACATGCAAATGCTTTAACACACAATATAGAACTGAGGGAACAAAACAATTCACTCACGGGCTAAAGAAAAACTCTCATCACAACGAAACAGCTCTCTCACATTCTCCTAAAACACTCTTTTCTCCAGATTACAGAGGCTGTGTCCTGTCGCCTGAGGTTTTGGAGATTGGCTCTGAGGCTCTGGGCTGGAAGGAGTCAGTCAAGTTCTGCCGAGAACGGAATCTCCATCTGGTCAGTTTGTCCTCTTCTGCACTCCTCAATCAAGTGGAGGCTAAAGTCCGGCAGGAGTCTACTAAGGATGGCGTCCCGAGGCGGGCTTGGATTGGTTTGCGTCGCAGCACGTTAACCGGCGCCTGGTACTGGATAAACCGGGCGCCGTTAACAGTTAGCAACTGGCAGGGGGCGGACCCCGAGGGCTCAGATGGGGGCCAGTGTGGGACCATCAGTCTGGAGATGGGTCAGGACTTTGGCTGGAGCCGTGAGGATTGCTGCCTGGATGTCCACCCCATCTGCTACCGAGAACCGCATCTCTTCCCCATGCAGTCGAAGCTAACAAATGAATCTGGCTTAACAATGGGTGTGACTGACTAACTTTTAGCACTTAACAAGTTACAATAGTTCTATTGCTGTAAGCTCACACTAATAATAACAACCACACCACTGAAACACTTTAACACGCATAACCGAAACACTCTCACATTCACGACTGAAATGATCCCTCACGCGGTTCGAAAACACTCACACACACTCCAATGCACTACGAAAACACTCCCACTGACATGACTTAAAAGTGTTTCATTCACCAACGCTATTGAACTGTCACACAGACTATTGAAACTCTTTAACCCACACTACTGAAACACTCTCATGCACAATAGTGAGACACTCTCACATAAACCACTAAAACAATTTTGCACACACTGCTGACACGATCTCAAACACTACTAAAACACTCACATAGTACTGAAATGATTTCCTATGCACTACACTGAAATGCTCTCACACACTACTGAAATGATCAAATTGGCACTACGGAAACATTCTCACAGGATATACCGAAATACTATCACACAGCACTAAAATGCTCTCACACACTCACTTATTCACATAACCTACTTAAACACTCACACGAACTATTGAAATGCTCTCACACCCACTATTGAAACCATTCTCACACACTGCAGTCATGTTTTTAGCTTGTTTTTGTGTGTTTTTCTCTTTTCAAGTCTTTTTTAGTGTGAGGCATGAAACCAGTTGGCTACATTAGCATGTCTTTTAGCATAGTGACGTTTTACCAGTCTTTTGTAGTCTTTTGTTTCCTTCATAATCTAAAATCTTCCATCCTTGCACTTAGCAATTAGCATTGTAGCTGTATTCTTTGTCTTACACAAAAAATAAATGAATACATGATAAACACATGAGAGTGTATTGTCATTTCTTCAACAAGCGCTGCTATCAAAAAAAAAAAAAGTTGTTTTGAAAACAAAGTAGTAATGAATCAAGTGACCAGGAGGTGACAGCACAAACACCATCAAAACTTTATTGGACTTTATTCTAGGGGGCTAACAGGCAGGGCAGCGAACGGGTGCCGTCACTTCCACCAGAGGGCGCCTGCAGACACCAGCCAGACCCCAATCCCCAGCAGCATAATTACCTTGGACCCCAGAGAAAGAATCACCAGAAGGAGGATATGGGACGGTGCGCCATCCTTGGTTGGGGGTGTCGGAAGGGGAAGCAGGTAGAGGGTGGCTTTATCTTTGCCGAGCGGGTTGGAGGCAGAGCATGTGACCTGCCACCCGGGTTCGACATCCTGCAGCCGGCTAACAACGAGGTCGTCACCCAGACTGAGCGGGCCTGCCGTAGAACCTTTCAGCGGATGCTCGGGCGCTAGCCACTGGATGTCGGGCGGCGGCGAGCCTGCCACGCGGCACTCGGCCACGTATCTTAAGTCTTCGCCGGCGTCCACCTGGAGGGACAGGATGTTGGGCGGCGCTGCGGCGGGAAACATAAATGTAAAGAACGCCACCCACTTCAAAAGGACCCCTTGAAGGACTTACCCTCCACCCTCAGCCAAGTCCCCATGTTGTCCTCCACGGTCTTGTGATCCCTTCCCTCTACCTCCAACCCACAGTAATAGCGTCCACTGTCCCCCAGGGCGGCGCCGTTGATACGCAGTGACAGATCATGCCGGCGGGGGTCACCCTCTAATCGGTACCGCGGGTCCTGCTGGGGGCCAGGCTCGCAGACAGGGACTTTACCAGTGCAGCGGTAGAGGACGATGGCACCTGGGCTGCCGTCCCGACGCCAGCGCACCTGCACTGAGGCATGATGGGAATGCGGCGGGTGGCTGTAGGTGCAGGGTAGCACCACTGGGTGGCCCGCCAGGGCTCGCACCTCTGCTTGCATGTGCACCGCCCAAACACCTTCCTCAAAGCTCCACACTTTGGGGAGGAACACATGACATACAGTTCATATGTACGAACACATGAAAACAGGAGTCGGAGAATGAACATAAAAACATGAAAATGAACATCAACATTTGATGCATGAAATTAGGATGTTTTCATATTTTCATCCTGTATGAACACATCAACATTAAGATACAATAGGAACATGATGACATGAACATATTGATGTTGACACAGTAACTTATGAAAACACACTAAACTGAAATTCACACAAACTACGGAAACACTCTTACACGCACTCCTGAAACATTGTCAAACACATACGACTAAAACAATGTCACACACAAGTGAAATGCTCTCTCTCGCTCTCTCTCACACACACACACACACACACACACACACACACACACTCCCGCGCGGCCCCTTCTGCCTGAGCGCATCCATCCCAGACTCCATCTCACACCGCTTGTCGCACACACACACACAAACACACACACACACACTACTAATATACTCTTAAATGTGTGTGTGTGTGTGTGTGTGTGTGTGTGTGTGTGTGTGTGTGTGTGTGTGTGTGTGTGTGTGTGTGTGCGAATGTATGGATATGTATGTGTGTGTGCCCGAGTGTGTATGGCCCAGCTCACCTCCTTGAGCAGCAAACAACGACATGCAGAGCAACACTTCCATGATGGATGAATATGTGTGTGTGTGTGTGTGTGTGTGTGTGTGTGTGTGTGTGTGTGTGTGTGTGTGTGTGTGTGCGTGTGTTTCCATTGTGTTTTATTTTGAGGAAGTTTTTCTTGTCTGTGTATAAAAAAAAAAATTAAAAAAAACAGAAAGAAAAAGAGGAAGTTATGAGGTGCTATACAGGTCATAAATACAGTAACATTTATCTTACCGACACCAAAAAAAAAAACCTCCCACACTCACCCCAAAAACCTCAGAAACCCCCCCAAAAAAATCTCTCACACACAAGTCTCACACCACAAAAACTCTCACAAGCCTCCTTCCGGTTCCGGGTCGCTGCACTGTGGTCGACCGGTCTATGTCCAGAGCGTTTTTTGTTACTTTTCTTGCTTTTTTTCTCATCCTATGTTTTTCCTTGCTCTGACTGTCTCTATAATACGCCGCTCTCGTACAACTCTAATTGCCCCACGGGGATAAATAAAGTTTTCTGAATCTGAAAAAAACACTCTGACACTCACCAAAAACCTCACACTCCAGGTCACTTTCTTCTTACAGTGTGGTATTATTTGTTTTGTGTGTGTGTGTGTGTGTGTGTGTGTGTGTGTGAGATTATCTTGTAACCAGTCACTGTCCTGTGACTCGTTTCCTTCCTGAATTGCTGTGGTGGCCCAGCGTTGGTATGTGTTTATGGAGTTCCATACGCCGGTGTGTGCTTTTGTGTGTATGTCCAAGATGCGTGTGTGTGTTATTGTGCGTGTGTTTGTTCTGCTGCTGGCGACCACAGGTGAGTTGTGCGTCATTCCGACACGTTCCAATTGGTTTGACCTACCTCTTCACGGTCCCACTTCTTGTTTGTGATGTGAAACTACTTGCTGACCTTAGCATGTTGACGTGGAAGCACTTAGCGACATTTGAATGGTGACACAGGCTCAGTTCGATCAATTATCAATATGATGTGACAGCAGTTAGCCACATTAGCATTTTGATATGGAAAGTTAGTGACATGGCATCACACGTGTTTGCTACAAGATGGGTTTAAAAATAAACAAGCGACTGTAGTTTTCTAACAGCTGATAGCTTGTCTGCGGGCAAATGACACAGAGAAATATTGGTTCCATTTTTCTGTCCCATGTAGTTCTCTTTTCACGGTTGTAACGCCTTACAGTCATAGCTCCACATAGTTGTAGCACAAGCAACAAAACACTGCCAGTGAAGATGCAAAACAACAAGTATCGACAATAGTCCCCACCAAAAAAACGAGGACGTCCAGTAACGGGGCAATGAGACTCAGTGGTAGTGTGGTCGCTTCCCAACCCGGCGGTTGGCGGTTCAATCCCCAGCCATTACATCCCTGTCAAAATACCCTTGAGCGTGACACTGAACCCGAAGTTGCTCCTGATGCTACGTCATCAGTAGTTAAATGAGTAAACAGTGTAAAGTGCTTTGAGTACCAAAAAGCACCACAACCACAATAAACAACCAATCACAAACTCAATGAACACTAAATGACAAAAACGAATGGGAAAAGTACAAATTAAAAATTAGGGCCTCTGCCAGTATTACTCAAAGGCACTACGTTGGATTTTTCTATGGAACCAGAAGGGTACATTAGCATGACAGCATTAGCATGTTGATGTAAAAGTACCGGTAGGTAGCCACATAGGCATGATGATGTGAAAACAGTTAGCTACATTAGCATGTTGACGCGGGGGTACTCGGTAGCCACATTAGCATGTCAACATTTACATGTCGATGTGGAAACATTTAACTACGTTACTATATTGCTCTGAAAGCAGATAGCAACATTAGCATGTCAGCATTTGCATGGTGATGTGAAAGCCGTTCGGAACATGAACGTGATGACATGGAAGTAGTGGGACCACTGTACTTTTTGGTACAGAGTTTGAGTGCTTTGCTCACGTCTGATCCCGGTACAGAGGGTTTGCCACCATCTGCGTTGACTGTGCACGTCTGTGATGAGGTCAGCGTGTTGCGAGGACAAGACGCCATCCTGGGATGCTCCTTCACTCATCCCAAGCAGGACCGCTACGTCGATAACATCATGTTGAGCTGGATCGGCAGAACCGAAACAAATCCGCCGTTTTTCCAATGTACAGTCAAGAACGACTCATCGGCCACACTCGCCGATTGCCTTGGCCTAAGCGGCTTCTTGTTGGCCGGCAACCTCCGGCAGGGGAATGCGTCGCTTCGCATCAGCGCTGTCCAAGTGAAGGATGAGGGCGTGTACTTCTGCAACGTAAAACTGGAGAAAGGAGGGTCACAGAAGAAAAAGTTGATGCTGAATGTACAAGGTAAAGACTCAACTCAATCACTGGACTTCCTGTTTGGTCATAAGGGGCGTGGTTATTAATGTGAATGCTGAAAAGCTAATTTGGGGTGATCTGTTGCTCTATGGAAGTACACCAATTGTTTGCAAGTCACAAATGCAGTTTTCCACACACAGACATTTTCCTCGCTGTTTTTTTCTTCTTCTGCTATCAGTGAGGCCTGCAATCCTGAGCCTGTCAATGGTCACCAGCAGTTCCAGTGCCCCCAACAGGCTGCAGTGTGTGGCGGAGGGCCTACCGCTGCCCAACATCACCTGGCTGTCAGCCTACGGGCAGCCGTTAGCGACAGCGTTAGCGGCGCATGTGAAGACCTCGTTTGCACATTGGTACCTGAACAGCTCCATACCGTACGAGAGGCAGGAAGAGCTCACTTGTCGGGTGGAGAATGCGCTGGGGCGGGCCGAGGGGACGTACCGGCCAGCGAACACGCTGAGGGATCTGGGCCTGGTATGCGGTGGCGTCGCGGTGGCACTGCTGATGTTGGCCACATGGGGCTTCGTTGTCCACCGACAGAAGATTAGAGGTGAGGCGATGATATCATCAGAGTGGTTGTGTCGTGTGGCATTATTTGATGATGATGATGACGACGATTTTTCTCGCTCAGCACGAAATTGCAACGCTCAGATTCAACAAAACGATCAAAGACGTGAGTGCAAGCCTTTCTACACTACACCACTCATGCATGAACACATGAACATACAAAATTACATGAACTTCGGATATTTGAACTTAACACATCAATACATTAAAATTGAACATGAAAACATGGATACATGAACATAAACAAACCCGACATTGTTTCATGTGAGAGGGGTTTTTTTTTTGGGGGTGTGAGGTTCTTTGCTGGGGTTTGAGGGTTTTTATTTGATGGAGATTTTTGGTGAGTTTCAGTCTTTTTTGTTGAGTCTGAGTTGTTTGATTGTTTGTGAGAGATTTTTTTTGTCTTATGTGTGAAAATGTTTTGGGTACAATTGAATCAAGGGGAAACTTTTTTTTTTATCAGTATGAAAGACTTTTTGTCGTACGAGAGGTTTTTGTTGAGCGTGAGAATTTCTTTGCTGTGTGTGAGGTTTTTGGCCCAATAAGAATTTTAAGATGATCATGAAATTTGTGTGTGTTTGTGAGTGTGAAAGGGTTTTTGTTCAGTGTGACAATTTTTGTGAATGTGACAGTTACTTGCAGGTCTAGGACTTTTTTGGGCAAGGGAGAGAGATTTTAGTTGCGTGAGTATTATTTTTGGTGTGTATGCAAGGCTTTTTGATGAATGTGAGATGGTTTTTAGTAAGTGCGAGAGAGAGGTTCATCAGTGTGTGTGTGTGTGTGTGTGTGTGTGTGTGTGTGTGTGTGTGTGTGTGTGTGTGTGTGTGGGCGCGTGCGCGTGTCTATGGTTGTGTCAAGTAGAGAACTGCTGCCTGCAATCCTCCGATGGTCCAGCCGGCGGCGCTATTGAGCTTCAGACTGTTTATGCCACTGTTGTTCTTCCTGATGCCAGTGAGTGACTAGAAATGCGTCATTCTACCGATTTTTTTTCTTTGCTTTGACTTAACTACACTCCACTAAGACTTGACTTAATTGTCTTAAGCAGCAGTTTGAAAGTAAACAAACAACAATTAGCGAATGATTGTGGTGGTATTGTAACCATTTCAGAAACTGATTGAACACAAGTGGTGCAGACAGACAAAATCGGAGTATTCACCGGCAAATATTCTTTATCCTCTGTGCGGAATGTCTAATATTGGTCCATCCTTCTATCAGTCTTATAGCCAGGTGACAGAAACGGTTTAATTATTTTTGAACACATTAAATTAAGCCATTAATGTATCCATCCATCCATTCATCCATCCATTTTGGTTATCCTTGGGTGCTCACCCTATCCCAGCTGTCTTCGGGCAGTAGGCAGGGTACACTCTAAAATGGTTCCTGAACTGATTGCCAGCTATATGTCTATAAATTACAATATTATAGGATGGCATTTTTCCTCATTAAAATATACATGACATCAATTTTTGGGGGAGGGCAGGGAGGGGCAGCGCATGATTTTTCAAGTTGACATGGTTGACATTCATGCAAAAGGGGGTGTTGTTGATGCCTCTCACTCAATAACATCTGGTGTGAAATGTGTAATGTGTGTAATGAGTGTGCATGTTTTTGCAGGTGAAGGCGTGCCATGTACAAAGTCCAAACATGCTCACACACATCAAGAACAAGGTAAGAGTCAAGATCATCAGTTTCTTTCAACAGTTAATCAATCAGTCATATTATTTTCAATGGTTTGAAAGAAGAAGGATTTTTTGGGGGGGACTTTGACAGTCTTTTTGGAGTCTTCTTTAAATCTTTTCCCAGTCGTTGGTAGATGCCAGATGTTCAATTTTGTCTTTTCAGATATCTTGTACTCAACTGTGAAATTTCAATAGTCATCTTCATCATCTTTGAAGTTGTGTGTTCCTCCCCAAGCTTCAGCTCTGCACTCCCGGCAAAGGGGTGGGGTCAACATTTAAAAAGCAGTTTGCAGAAGTTTGTGTTGGTTTTGTCATTCCTAAATGGCGGCGCTCACATGAAGCGTCAAGATCGAAGTGAACAAAGAACCTCGTGACCCCCGCATGACTGCATCTTTTGTTTTCTTTTGGGAGCATTTGTATGTAGTGTTATTTTGTAATTTTGTACTTTCGAGTCTTATTGTAGTTAGTCATGTTTCTAGTCTGTTTAGTCTTTAGCCTTTTGTAGTCTTTGACATCTTTTTCTAGTCTTTTGTAGTCTTTAGCTGAAGTAGTCTTTTTATAGTCTTTTTTTTTTTGTCTTTTATCATCTTTGTTGTATTAAAGTATACATATATTTTGTTTCTGTTTTGTTGGTTGCGTTCAGGGTTGAATCTGTTGCCTGACTTTGAGGTGCAAAGTTCAGACCATATTTGTCAATAAGACAATAAAAGTGACTAACATCAATGTCATGAACCACTGCAAGACTTTTTGTATTTATGTCATGAAACAGCTTGATACGTGCTTTACATTATTTTAAAAACAAATTTGAATCAAAAATATTTAAATGTCATGACGACATCCAAGTTTCTTCCTTCATGAACAGATCTTTTATTGTGAAAGGCACCAACGGACTGCGCGTGTGACTGCGCTTTTGTTGTGAAACGTCAGCGGATGTGGGCAATTGAGCACGCAAAACTGGGCGTGTGTTTTGGCGCCTTTCGCACTGAAGCCTTCCTAACGAACAGGATTTCTTTTTTCTCCTTTTTCTGGTCAAGTAGTTTCTTAGTTTACTTTTAGCAGGCAGGCTAAGATGTCTCACACGGTCAGCCCGACCAGCACCGTCAGGACCTCCGCGTCCGACAGCGTCTTCAACCTGGGATACATCCGAACCATCCCGGGACTGCTCAAGATGGCCCAGATGGTCAGACACCGCACAACAACAATTTACACACCAACAACTGCACTCATCAGGCAAAATGACGCCTTTAGCTGATGTGCTAACAACCTGAGCATCAAGTAAACAGGGTGGATTAGGAAGGGGGGGCAGTGCGGACACGAGGTGGCATCCTGTGGGTGTGGTGACACACACACACACACACACACACACACACACACACACACACACACACACACACACACACACACACACAGTACGGGGCACTAACCTTTTTGAAACCTAGAGCTCCTTGCGGGTACTTTGGTGTGTGTTTCACGATGAATGCGAAGTGCTGCAAATTTGATACACACGTCTGGGGAAAAAAAGCTCAAATTGTCGTCAGCTACATGTGATTATTTATTAATTATAAGCATCTAACAAGTATTTTTTTTTTCAAGCGAGACCATTGTCATAGGAAACGGCTGGAATAAAGGGACACAGTGGTGTTTAAATGTTGTCAATGTATTGAAGAATTAAGGAAGTTATGACATTTTAAATGTTTCGAAAAAAACGGCAAAAAATCTGTTGTTTCGAATTCGAAACAATGGAATGGACTATGGTCAGTTTCGAAGAAAAATAATCAAGCTGAGAGCTTGAGGCTTGTATAGACTAAATTCATAAAGATGATACACCACGAAAAAAAAAGCTTTCAATTTCACAAGACGAGTCATCATGGTGATAATTAATGAATGACATCAATCAATTGATGAGACAATCCCCCGCACTTCTCCCAATACCACGATTGAGATTGAATATGGCCTACAGGTGGCGCTGCTGATCACCTTCCTGTGCGTGCACTGTGCACGGGGCTGGCCCAACTGGGCGGCGTTCCAGTACTTTGAGGTGGTGGCCGTGTGGTTCTTGGTGGTGCTCCTGGTCTTCTTCCTCATGCACCTGTGCCGGCTGCAGGCCAAGATGGGCTGCATCAATTGGCCGCTCACCGTAAGCCGCCTTCATGGCGCCTCACCTTATCTTCACAAAGCACATCCTGTTCATTCTTCTCTTCTTCCACCTCTGTCTACCTTCTACTCATCTTCCTCCTTCTTCTCCTCATCCTTTTTCTCCTCCCTCCTACTCTTCCAAATCCCCTTCCTCCCTCCACTACTCTTCTTCCATCTCCTTCTCTTCCTCTTCCTTCTACACGTCATCCTGGTCCTTCTCCGGCTCTTCCTCCTCCTTCTTCTCCTCCTTCTCCATCTTCTTTTAGGAATTCTTCCACTACTCCGTGGGTACGGTGCTGATCTGCATCGGCTCCATCGTGGCGGCGGTGAAGAGTGGAGGTGTGTCCGCCCTGGTGGCAGCCTCTGTAAGTACCACACCCTGCTATATGCGGGTTGTCATATTTGTGTATCATCGTGTGTGTTGTTGTCATATGCGCTGACATTTTCTGTTTGCGTTTTCTCTTTTTGGTGTCTTCAGGTTTGTTGTCATGTTTTACATTCGTGTTGCATGTGTTTTGTTTGTGTTATCAGGTGTTTGGTTTTATCACAACCTTCCTGATGGCGGTCAGCTTGTGGACATCTTACAGTGTCTCCTGCGGACCACACCACACTGGTATGTAATGATGTTTTTTATGATTAATTTTTAATGCTAACTTTTTGAGTGAGTCACCTGATTGCTCTTGAAAGTGGGTGAGACATTGTATTGCAGTGTTTTTTTTTTCTCTCCCTCATTAGCATCCTCCTGCAAACTGCACTAGCACTGCTAGTTGCGCTAATAATGATAATGTCTTGAAGTGTGTGAAAAAAGTAACGTGGTAGTCACATGGATTTAATTTCATGCGGGCAGGTGCTGCGGTCTAATGGCCAGAGACGTGATTGGCTGCCTCTGGACCCGACTCACTTTTCTGCCTCGCGACCTGCCAACATGTCAACGTGATTGGATGAGCCTTGGGAGCTGAGAAGCTGATGAGGAGCATCTTGTTTAAAAAAAAAAAAAAAAAAATCAGAATGTTGGCGGTGATTCAGAGTCACCTTCACATTGATGTTACCCCACAACAACAAAAGGTGCGAACAATAGCTAGTCAACTTCGTGACTCAATTTCCCATCATTTGTTCTGCTGGATGAAACTATCGCTTTATTGTTGCATTCTTAAACGGCGATAATGAGAGAGAGCAACACCCTTTTTTGCCTGCTGCGTGCCAAAACAACCCGCCTGTCTCTTTTTCATTGAATTTTTCAGTTCATTTTGCGTGCTAACCTCACAAACGCTGAAGCACTTTCCGCCTCATCAGCCTTGCTCGGCTAAAGAAATGTTAGCATTCAGAATGCTAACATTGCAAACAAATACAAAGCTGATTGCTGAACCACCTACAGAATCATTGTCAAATGCGCGACGCTCGGGAGAAGTATTAGCATTTAGGATGCTAACCTCGCATGCCAAGAATGCAGTGCTGAACCACCACTATCATCATCATCAGCCGTGCTATACTAAAAAGTGTATTTTTAAGCATTTCATGTTTAACCGACATCATTTTCATCATTCACAGTGTTATGCAACACCGAGCTAATGAAGTATTAGCGCTTGGTGTGCTAAAACTGCAAACAGACACAACACGGAACCACTTTTCGTCATCAGCCACGCACCACGCTCGGCTAAAAATGCATTAGCATCAAGCATGCTAACCTCGCAAACAGATCAGAGGCTGAACCACCACCATCAGCCACGCCAGGCTAAGGAAATGTTAGCATGTATGTATGCTAACTTACACTAGCCTAGTGTAACGTGTCAGTGTGCCAACGATTACCTCCCTACGGGTCACATGCACACGCAAGCTGCCGTCACGGCAACAGGCGGGCCAGCGTGCACGGTGCTAGTCTTTCAACGTACTTACCACCAAGGAGTTGAAGTTTACACAACGATGATGACTACAGTGATTATCACAAAAAAATGTGAAAGCACATACACGCTCAAGTCAACGGACTGTTAACAATAACAACACCTTGGACGTTTACATTCAGTCGCAGTCATGTTTGTGTGCCAACTCGCATCACGTGACCTGCTTGTGCTCTGTGATCAATCACATGCTCTCGCTGACTTTTATGTCAAAATCATTTGTGTGTATATTAGTGTAAGATTTATATTTTAGGAGTCCCCAACATAACTCCACAAATACAAAAGTCACGCAGTAGCGCTCCTTGAAATGTTTGGGGAAAAAAATAAGCCCCCCCCCCAACACCCGTTTGATCAGTATAATGTCCACAAAAAAATGGGTGGACATGTCTATCAACTATTTCAAGGACCCATGACAGAAATTGAACAGGAAGTGGGACATTTTGGTGTGAAGCAGCCTTTCTCAAGTCATTTTAGCCAGTGATCAAATTTGAAAATCCAGCTTCTGACAACAGTCCCACCGATCACCATGAAATTTGGTGGCCATGTCTATCAGAACAGAAGGAATGGGAAAAGTCTCAAGCACCCATGCCTGAAATTGAACAGGAAGTCACCCATTTTGGTTTGGGGCAGACGCTTTGAGGCCAATCCCCTCAGTCGTGTCAATTGGAAACTTAAATAAATAACTAAGCTGGCCCTCGACACCAGTCTCAGTGACGCACACAAAATTGGGTCTGTCAAAACAGAAAAGGAAAAAGTACCCAGACCTGAAATTCAACAGGAAGTGAGTCATTTCAATTTGAAGAAGACATTTTCAGGAAATCCTCTCAGTACTACTCCGTGGATGGGCCATTTTGATTTGAAACAGCCACTTTGGGAGCGCACTTTCCCTAAACTCATACTTGGGGATTCACCCAAATTGAAATCTAATCAAAAGCCGGTACCTTAGACAGATGGGCAACACAAAATTGCCATGATTTTTTTTTTTTTCCTTCAACATTTAATATAGACAGAGCATCACAATGTGATATCAGATCATTTTGGAGGATTCGCTGTGAAAAAGCAGGTGCGAGGGCCCGTTCATGGATATTTGCAGTTTTTATTTCTTTTTGTTTCCTTTGCGGGACAATTGGATGTCCTTTTGAATCTGAAAAGAAATACAAGACTGTCCTTACAAGCTCACGTTCAAGTAACAACATTAGCCACATAGCATGTTGTCACTCACTGTAATTACACACGCTAGCTGTTAGCCACTGCTGTATACAAATCATTTGTATTATGCTGGTTTTACACTTTTTTTGAAGGAAAAAAAAACGTGAAACTTGTTTTTATGAGTAATATGAACTTTTATTTATGACGGAATGTTTCAGTGTTTGCACACGCGTCAAAGTTTGCCGCAAGAAAAGCTAGTTTGAGTGTTTGGGAAGCGGAGGGTGACAAACATTTCCTGCCTAGCTGTTGATAGCAATTCAGAATTCCCAACGTGACAATAATGTATCCTAAGAAAAATAAGCTGTATTAAAAACTGTGATTGTATCCTACCATAACAAACATATTTATATCCTACCATCCAGTGAATGTTTGAATCCTGCTGCAACCTTGTTTTTTTTTAAATGCTAATTATTATGATTATTTAGTTTTTGTGCACACATCGTCTTAAAAACAGAATTGCTCTTTTTGTAGCTTCATCTTTTCCTAAAGTGCCTTAATGTGCCACTCGATAGAGCAGTTCACTCTGTCGCGGCGAGCTGGCCTGAAGCTCAGAAACAAAGGAGCACAGTATTTATGTGTGCTTTCAAGTTTTATTTCAAGGTTGACATTGTGATGCGCTGCATGTTGTCAATTAAACCATTTGTTGCACCAATGCGTGACTCCTATCTGACCAGCGATCATGTCACACTACACCTATAAAACCATCCGTCCATGTTTATGTAATAGCACTTGTCCAATTTCACTGGAGCAAGTCACTCGGAATTGTCCCGAAATGTGATTGTGAGCGTGAATGGTTGTTTTTCTGTTTGTGCCCTGCGATTGGCTGGCAACCAGCTTAGGGTGTTGCCAGCCAAATCAGCTGGGATGGGCTCCTGCACGCCCGTGACCCTTATAAGGATAAGTTGTTCAGAGATTAATGGATGGATGGATGTCAGAGTTGAGTTGACACAAGAGGTGAGGATCACCCTGGACTGGACGCCAGTCAATGAACATACAAATACTGGACTGAATTATTTTACTCTGTTAATTACACTCTCAGGGGAAGATACTAATGAGTATAATAAACATGTCACGATGGCAGTCAGTCATTAACACCCAATTTTAAATAACTGATTGAGCGAAAAGTAGCTAAGATACAACTGTGCATGAGAGATTTCGATTTCCCCTAAGAATTAATGCGCAGTGAGGGAAATAAGTGTTTTTTCTGAAGAAAGGCCACTGAATGACTCGTGTGCTTGCTCCAAATAACCGCTAGAGGTCACTGTCGAACAAGCGTACAATCAGGCATGCGCACCGTCAGTCGGATAAGATCCATTTGCTCAGCTCGTGTCAGACCAAATTGAACCACTTTTAACTCCTCGCTAACCACAGGTGTCACCTGTAAGGTGACGTCACGTGACAAAGGCGTAGCAACGTGTCATAAGTGATGACTCATGGGAAACGTTTTCTTTCCTCAGCACACAAAAACAGACACGGTAAACAGTAACACACACATACCTGACACACAAAGAACCGGACAGACACAAAAACGGATACAAACACTCGTACACGCGCACAAACAACCGTACGAACACACATGAAAATAGACACAGTGGAACACAAACACACACGGAGACACACAAAAACGTGCTATTGAAAACAAACCATACACACTCGCGACTACGCGCACACACACACACACACACACACACACACACACACACACACACACACACACACACACACACAAGTAGATGTACACGCACTTAAACACACACAAAGATCAGACACTGACATATTGTATGTCCACAAACAACCCCGACACAAACAAGCAGACACATATTGATAGGCCTACACACACTCCAACATTCACACACACACAAAAAAAACCTCACACAGCCACACACATGTATTAGCCAACAACCACTCCAACAAACATTTACACGAACCACACACACGCAAACTCACACAGTCACACACGATTGACATTGTGTATTTTACCTGCCCACATTAACTTTAACCTTTGCCTTGATGTCTCGACACAGTGAAGCAATGGACCGAACGAGCCGCCTGTCACCAGGAATAAAACCCGCTCAGGAATTTCACCCGGCTGTTGCCACGACAACAAGGTGTGATTGCCAAGCAGGAAGTAGCCGAGCAGCCAGAACAGGAACTTGGAGCCATCTGATTGATCGAACGCTTATCCTCATCAAAAGTTTTGAGGGGAAAAAAATGTTTAGTGACATTACCTGTCCATCAGGAGATGTATCCATGACAACAAAGGCGTGTTTAGTCGCACCCTTTCACCTGACACTCAAAGGCTGCTCTCTGATTGGTTGCTCAGCCTCCACCGCACAGATGACAGGTGAGGAAATGGTTGCTATGGCAACTTGTACTCCCATCTGGGTCAATTCAATATGCTTAAGTACAATTATATGTTTAATGTTCTACTTTTAACATCCCAGCGTGAAGGTGCAGCATGAGCATTATCATCTTCATATGTGTCAGCGGATCCAGGGGACTGATGTTCTAAGATCTACTTGTTCAGTCCTATGCCAGCACACACCTTGTCAAGAGTTCAAAGGTTAGTTGCGTGATGACTCTTAATGAGGGGGGGGGCCTCATGGACACACACACCCCCCACACGAACACACATGAACAAACGTGCACGTTCGCACACAAAGGTGAGACGTTGTAATTAGTGAAGGATGAAGATGATGATGATGAAGATGATGAAGAGATGAACGTTGCTGCTTGTTAGCTCCAGTGTGAAAAAGTTGTGACGGCTGTTATTGGATCATTAGCGCTGGCAACCCGCTAATTAACCCACGCAGCTTGACAGCTTATGACCTCCGCCAAGCACAAAGTCACGTCTTCGCCTCCCATCTGGGTCAATTCAATATGCTTAAGTACAATTATATGTTTAATGTTCTACTTTTAACATCCCAGCGTGAAGGTGCAGCATGAGCATTATCATCTTCATATGTGTCAGCGGATCCAGGGGACTGATGTTCTAAGATCTACTTGTTCAGTCCTATGCCAGCACACACCTTGTCAAGAGTTCAAAGGTTAGTTGCGTGATGCTCTTAATGAGGGGGGGGGCCTCATGGACACACACACCCCCCACACGAACACACATGAACAAACGTGCACGTTCGCACACAAAGGTGAGACGTTGTAATTAGTGAAGGATGAAGATGATGATGATGAAGATGATGAAGAGATGAACGTTGCTGCTTGTTAGCTCCAGTGTGAAAAAGTTGTGACGGCTGTTATTGGATCATTAGCGCTGGCAACCCGCTAATTAACCCACGCAGCTTGACAGCTTATGACCTCCGCCAAGCACAAAGTCACGTCTTCGCCTGCTCGCCATGCCACATGCAGACATGATGTAAGCATGTGAAACAAACTTCAATGGGCACACCATCAGGACCTTTTGAACCAATGGAGGTATCACAACAATTAGGGCCACTGGAACCATCAGACCGATCAAAAAACATGAGAGCCATGAGAACTCAGCCAATTTGACATTTGAAAGGGAGAAAACATAGGGCTGCTTATTAATATGTGATGAACAATCAGTGTGTTTGACACATTTCACAAACATCACGTGGTACTTTAGTAGCTGCATGATTTTCCGCATGTTGCAAATGTGACACAGTTTACGCAAATTTCACATGTGGCATGTTCCAAAATCTTAAAGCTGTTCCATATGTTGAACATGTAACACAATGGGCATGTTTCACATGCTGCATGTGACGTGTTATAAATCTGTTGCATATGTTACACATGTCACAAATTACAAATGTTATGTATGATGCATGTTCTGATTTACATGAGCTACATGCAAGTTCCACATGTGGCATGTTCTATATATATATATATTTTATATCTTTATGTTGAAATATTTTACATAATATATACATATATAACAGAAGTCGACTGCACATAAATGGCAATTTGACCCATTTGAAGGCAGGAGCATGAACGCAGCAAATGAACCTCCCTCGTGGTCAAGCACACATATATTGAGTGTGTGTGTGTGTGTGTGTGTGTGTGTGTGTGTGTGTGTGTGTGTGTGTGTGTGTGTATGTGTTTGTGCATGTGTGTGTCCATGTGTGACAGGGGGTTTCATCAATCAGGGTTCAGTGCTGGACCAATATGAGAGATATCACATTCAGGTTTTGGTGCTGCCGCGTTGCCATGGTAACCACAGAACTATCATTATGCTGATGGGATTTCTACGACATCCCAGCAGGCGGAGCTACAGCCAGTTGGAGACAGGCAGTGGGGGTTTGGTAAAAAAAAAACAGTTGAATCATTATTTAAAAATAGTTAGATAATACATTTGTATTCATAACAATAACCCAGCAAATGTGATGCAAAATCATTCAAATTAGTTGTGCTGGTGTTGGAGTGATATTGTGATACTGGAGTTACATTAGATGATACCAGAGTGATATCATCTAATATTATCATGATATTGACATGCAAATATGATATCTGCCTGATATCACGATGATACTGGAATGATATCGTAATGTTGCTGGCTTAATAGCAAGGATATGTTGGATTGATATGATGATATTGGAGTGAAATTACAACGACAATAGTTCGATAAGATGGAAAGTATGGCGTGGTAACATGATGACAAATGGGTGAAATGATGATACTGGGTTGGTATGCCAATACAGAAGCGATATCATTTTGATGTTGGCATGATGTCATTTCATAAGTTGATATCTCTTTCTGTGTCCACTGTGGGAAAGAAACAAAATAGGATGGTGCAGGCAGAGCTTCATTAATTGATGCTGTCAATCATCCAGATTGTTTCTGATCTTTCTGTTTTCTTAAGCGATTATGATCAGTGCAAAACCAATTATTGATTTCACATTCCAATGAACATCATTATTTGCATGTACATTATTACACCTCTATCCGTGTGTAAATAGGCCAATATTTGTGTGTGTGTGTCTGTGCGTGTGTGTGTCTGTGCTAGCATTAGCATGCATTAGCATTTGGCAAAACTTTTGAGTCTCTGGAGTCTGTTTGTTTGTTTTAATGTAATGAGCTTGGTGCTGTTCATGATTGTCTCCGAAAGAGAAACCACACACACACATACACACACACACACACACACACACACACACACACACACACACACACACACACACACATGCACACGCATGCTCAAGAATGCTTATATCTGCTATGCTAATTACAAACAAGTGGGATTCTACTGGATGATTTTTGTTTTATTTAAAAGAAGGAGTATGTACATCATAAATAAGTGATATTCATAACTATCGCTGTACTACTACCACTAACTACTACTGCTAATGATGATGATGATGATGATGATTGTTGATTCTGTACTTTGATTCTCTAATGGTCTTTTTGAATGGTTCCCCTCTTCTTCACTTTTCAAGAAGATTAGCTTGTTATTGATAGTGAGAGAAGTCACAAAGCTTCATGATGATGATGATGATGGTGGTGCTGATGATGAAGAGGATCAGTGATGTCACGTTCTGCGATAACTACAAGAATAATTTTAGCAGACGCATATCCATGTAAATAGATGCAAATGAATCCACACAAGAAGAGAATAAACAAGCATCAAAGAAAATTTTCATGGCTAAAAAAAAAAAACAACAGTGTCATATTATCATTAAT